TCTTCTTCTTCTTCTTCTTCTTCTTCTTCTTCTTCTTCTTCTTCTTCAAAACCTCCTCCTGCATAACTAAGAACTGCTGCCAATTGGTAACATCTGCTTTTTGGTTTTTTTTTTTGCTTTTAAGAAGTTCTACATTGTGCTAATGAATTTCTTAACCTCGGTGGAGTCTCTTGGGAAGCTCCGTCAAATGTTCTCATTTGGCTGTGGTGTACCCAGGGGGGAGAAGGGGAGAAAACGCATCCATCCTTGTCTCCATCTGGTCTTCCAGATCCTCCTGTAGTACCTCCCTCTCCCTCTCCAGCAAAACCACCTGGAGGATGAAGACATCAAGCGTCTTAATCATTGAATAAAGCCATTTCTGATATGCGGAAAAAAAATAGCAAATGACCATTTGCACGACATCCTTCTGGAGAGCCGCTGAAAAAGGGACTGTGAAAAAGCTTGATTAAAGTTGCCCGTCAAAGCCAGGAGCCTGGCATTAAGGGTTGTGGCATGGATAGTTCAAGGTCAGAGCGGGTGTGGCATTTGCCAAGGCTGCCTACTCCGTTGAGGAAGGGGTAAAAGATGGGTCTCTTCTGATGTTGAGACTCTGGAGAAAAAAAAACGCAGAGAAGAGCGACCAAAATGATTTTAAAGGCCTGGAGACTAACACATATGAAGAACAGTGGCAGGATTTGGGCTTGGCTAGTCTAGGGAAGAGAAGGGCCAAGGGGGGACATGATAGCGGCCTTCCGGTATTTGAGGGGCTGCCCCAAAGAGGAGAGGGGCCCATTTATTTTCCAAAGCACCAGAAAGCAAGACAAGGAACAATGGATGGAAATCAAGGAGAAAAACAACCTGGAATGAAGGAGAAACTTCCTAATAGGACAATTAACCTGCGGAACTGCTCGCCACCAGAAGTTATGGGTGCTTCATCGTTGGAGATTTTTAAGAAGAGATTGGACAGCCACCTGTCTGAAATGGCATAGGACCGTGGTGGCTAACCTTTTGGGGCTCCTGTGCCAAAAATTGTGTGCACTTGTGCCTGCACGCTCGCATGCCAGCATCCAGAAGGCAATGCGCGTGCCCCCTCCCCACCCTGTGTATGTGCACGCAATCCCCACCCCCTTACCTTGCACTGCACCTCCCAGCTGATTTTGGGCCCGTTTGAGGCCTTTTTCAGCCTCCCAGAGGCTTGAGGAAAGCCTCTGCAGGCTGAAAAATGGGCCTGTTTCGTCACTTCCAGTATTTCCGGAAATACATGCAGTGACAAAATGGGTCTATTTTTCGGCCTGCAAAGGCTTTCCTCAAGCCTCTGGGAGGCTGAAAAAGGCTTCAAACGGGCCCCAAATCAGCTGGGAGGTGCACGCGTGCGCAGTGAGGTAAATTTGCCTGTGGCTTGCAGGCACAAATGGTTCTGCGTGCCATCACGGCTATAAGATCTCCTACTTGAGCCGAAGGTTAGACTAGAAGACCTCCAACGTCCCTTGCAGCTCTATTCGGATGGATTGATGTCACGCCGTTGTGAAGCTGGTAACACAGTTGTTAAGCAAATCTGGCTTCTCCGTTGACTTTGCGCGTCAGAAGGTCACAAAAGCATCACGAATATGAGGCAGCTGCAAAACATCTCTATGAACACGGGGATGGCGCAATGGTCATCAAGTGTGGAAAAACGGTCATAAAGTCACCTTTGCCAGTGTCGTGGTAACTTCGAATGGACACTAAACAAAATGGCTGTAAGCCAGGAACTGCCCGGACTGGTTTTCTGAATTACAGCCGCATCCCAACCGTCACCAGATCTTCTTTCCCTGGTTCTGGAAATCCCAAATTTGCTAGCGGTAAAGAAGGAAGATGCCCCCCCCCCCCAATTTCCAGGCATCTTTTATCATAGCAAAGTCTTTGGCGCCACCTCCTGGCTGAGTAAAGTCACGCCATTTGCTGTTTGATTCTTTGCTCCTTTTCAATCAATCTATCTGAGTTAGAGCTAGAAGGGACTTTAGATCAGCCCCCCCCTCTCCTCCCCCAGCCTTTGGGGCACCAGATACGGGTTCCGTGGACAGAGGTTTTTTCGTGGACCGAAGAGGGCATGGTTTCGCATGCTACCTGCATCCTACGGACAGGGCTTTACCTATTTGTGTGGCCTGGTTTCTGGTATACCATGCTGGCTCAGGAATTTATTTATTGATTTGATTTGATTAGTCAATCGCTTACAAGATAATAGATATAAGCATAAACGTAAGTAAGAGTACAGGAAATAGGTATGAATAAATGGGGACAGGGACAGTATGCACGCCTTCTGGGAGTTGAAGTCCACAAGTCCTAAAAGGACCATCGTTCTCCATGCTGGCTCAGGAATTCTGGGAGTTGAAGTCCACAAGTCCTAAAAGGACCATCGTTCTCCACCCCAGTCTATGGACTCCATATGACAAGCTGATATTATCTTTAGCTACATTCCTTGATTTTTCTGGGTTTCCGCATTGAATCTACAAATCAGTAAGGAAGATACCAAGGGGAGTTCCTCATTATGACATACCTTCCTCTCTTCAGTCAGAAGATGAAAACAAACAGGCCACAATGTATTTCCTCAGAGTAGAAGAACCAACAAAGGAGAATATTTGTTGCTGAGGTTTGAAGTATGGTATTTTTGGTGCTCTGGTTCCTTGTAGACGTTTCATGACCCAACTAGGTAACATCAGCAGCGGTAAGAGGGAGTGATGTTTGCAGAGTGCAGGACAGCTAGAGGAGGATGACTGTGGGGTCCTTGGATCTCTCTGAACTTGATTGTTTTCTTGCAAGACCTTTCATAACCTAACTATGTAACATCATCAGTGCTAGAAAGAGTGGGGTTTGCTCTGCAATTACATGCCCTGTCAAGTGTTGGTGGGAATGGTCTTGGATATTCTTTGGTTCGGCTGTTTACCGTTAGCTTGTTTGGCAGTTCTTTGATTGGGGTATTGTTTATTGTTTCTTTGATTGGAGTATTGATTATTGGTCTGTTGTTAATCATAGTCTTGATCTTTGGTCATCTGGGTGCCGATTGCTGGTGGGGAGATACCATTTGGTCTTTTGGTTCCTTTTTTTGGTTTGGAAGGAATGAATGTATTCTCCAAAGCACCTAAGGGCAAGTGGAGTGGAGTGGAGCAACTGGCCAGTTTTAAATTTCTGAGTGTTCCCCTAAAAGAGGTCCTGACCTGAGGGGCTCACATTGCAGCCCTGGTCAAAAGGGCCCAGCAGAGATTGTTCTACCTGAGACTTCCCAGGAAACAACAACTGCATGAAAAACTGCTGGTGACCTTCTACCGCTGCAGCATAGAAAGCATTTTAATATATTGCACCTCTGTGTGGTTTGCCAATTGCAAGGGGCAGATAGGACAGCGCTCCAGAGGGTTAATGTCTTTGCCCAGAGGATCATGGGTTGCCCTTTCCCTTCTTTGGAAGAGCTTTATAGCTCCTGCTGCCTTAAGAAAGTTCAAAACATCCTCAAAGATCCATCTCATCCTGGGCACCCCCCTTTTTTTTGAACTATTACCACCCGGCAGATGCTACAGAATAATAAAAACAAGGACAAATAGGCTGAAAAACAGCTTCTATCCCAGGGCAGTAGCTCTTTTGAATTCTGCTGTATAGTGCAGTGTTGGCGCCGGTTCATTGTGCGAAGGGTAAAGAATGCATGTTGGTGTTTATTTTCATGGTCATGATGTGCACTGAAGATGGTGTTTGATTTCGTTGTGTGAGGTGCAATGACAATAAACTAAACTAAAGAAGTAACAAATGGAAACTTATCAAGGAGAGATCCGATCTACAATGAAGGAGAAATTTCCTAGCAGTCAGAACAATTACATGGTGAAAAGGCGGCTTCCCTCCAGGAGTTCTAGATGTTCCTTCACGGGAGGTCTTCAAGAAGAGACTGATACAGATTAACAGAGTTGGAAGGGACCTTGTAGGTTATCTAGTCCAACCCCCACCACCACTGCCTAAGCAGGAGACCCCACACCATTTCTGACAGAGGGCAGTCCAGTCTCTTCTTGAAAGCCTCCAGTGATGAAGCTCCCACAACTTCTGAAGGCAACTTCTGTTCCATTAGTTGATTGTTCTCACTGTCAGAAAATTCCTCCTTATTTCCAGGTTGAATCTCTCCTTGTTCAGTTTCCATCCATTATTCCTTGTCTGGCCTTCAAGTGCCTTGGAAAATAACTTGGCCCCTTCCTCTCTGTAGCAGCCCCTCAAATATTGGAAGATTGCTATCCTGTCTCCCCTGGTCCTTCTCTTTGCTAGACTAGCCAAGTTAGTCTAGTATAGCTAGTCTTCCTGTAACCATTCATTGAATATTTTAGCCTCCAGTCCCGCCATCATCCTGGTTGCTCTTCTCTGCACTTTTTCTAGAGCCTCAACATCTTTTTTATAGTGTGGTGACCAAAATTGGATGCTGTACTCTAGCTGTGGCCTTACTAAGGCTTTATAGAGTAATATTAGTTACTCCCTTGATCTCGATTGTATCCCTCTGCTAATGCGACTTAGGATTGCATTGGCTTTTGGGGCTGCCGCCATACACTGGATAGTATAAGATGGTATAAAGTCTCCTGCTTTGAGCAGGGCGGGGTGGACTAGAAGACCTTGAGGTCCCTTTCTATGAACAGCGCCTCCCAGCCCCCATCTGAAATAAAGACAACCCAGCTGCGGGCCACGGGGCGCTTCCGGCCATGCCCTCCAGAGGGAGCCCGAGGCGGAGGCGGAGTCCCACTCAGCAGAGCCGGAAGGAGCGACCCTAACATGGCGGGGCTCAGAAATGGCGCCGCCACGTGGTGCCCTGATCCAAGATGGCCGCCGCGCCTTCGAGCGGGGCGTGTGACGCGGGGAACGAAGCGGAGGGAGGGGGAGGGCTCGTCGGCCCAGAAGCCAGCCGCCCTCCCCCCCCCCTCTCGCTCGCCATGCCCCGCCGGTTGGAGCGGCTGGCCAACGTGGTGCTGCGGGTTCCCCCCGTGGTCCTCCTGGACCTGCTGTACCGGTGGGACGTGCGGGCCTTCGCCGACGCGGGGCGCCCCCTGGCGGACCAGCTTCAGCTGCGGGGAGCCCGCCTCTGGAGCCTCTACTACGCCGGTGAGGGGTGGAAAGGGCACCACCCGGAGAGCCCTCGGGGCGCCCCTTCGGCCGGGGGTGGGGGAGGGACTCCACCTCCCATGGGGCGCGGGAGGGGCCGGGGAGAGTTGCAAAGGGGGGGGCGGGGGGTGGGGGGGAACCCCAGGAGGGAAGGGGGGGGGGGGCACCCCGCGAAAGGGGGGGGGGGGGCGAAAGGGGGGGGGGGGGAGGAGGAGGCGGGACAGCCTGACTTCGCCTTGCACCCAGGACCGCGGGGGCTGGGCTGCCCCCCCCTTCCTATACAGACACGCACAGCTCGACCTGGGAAATGGGGCAGGGTCTCCCTCTTTTTCAGGCTGACATGCACACAAACACACATACACACACACACACACACCTTTTACCTGGAAATGGGGCAGGGTCTCCCTCTCCCCCCCCCATCCCCTCTACCTGAAAATGGGGCAGGACTTACACACACATACACACACACACACACTACCTGGAAATGGGGCAGGACATGCACACACACGCACACACACACACACTACCTGGAAATGGGGCAGGACATACACACACACACAAACACACAGTCTACCTGGGCAGGACTTACACACACACATATACACACACACTACCTGGGAAATGGGGCAGGACTTACACACACACACACACACACACACACTCTACCTGGGAACTGGGGCAGGACATACACACACACACACACACACACACACACACACACACGCCCTCTACCTGGGAAATGGGGCAGGGGTCTCCCTCCTTCCTTATGGGGCGAGGGGCTCTGGTGATCCAGGCGGGCTGTGGGGAGGTTCTGAACTTCTTCGGGAGGCTGGCAAACATTTTATTTGTTCCATTTATTTATTTGTTTGTCAAACACGTGCAAGGCGAGAAGTGTAAGTAGGAAGGTACAACAAGGACGCAGGGAGCTCAGTGGGGACAGGGAGGGGGCGCTTATGCAGCCCCCCCCCCCCCCTTTGCAGCATCCTTGCCAACCGTGGAAGGAAAACCGTGGAGGGGTCTGTGTGTGTGTGTGTGTGGAGGGGGCACTTCACGTCCACCCACATCCGGGCAACCAACCTTGGTCCTCGATTTACAACAGTGTGACCGTTCAGAGTTAAAATGCCACTGAAAAGACTTGAGTTATGACCGTGGTTCCCCCCCCCCTGCCCCCTCTTACGACAGTTGCATGGTCCTGTGGTGTACATTCGGATGCTTGGCACCTGATTCACGTTTATGACGGCCGCAGTGTTCCCGCGGAGGTGGTGGTGTGGGTGGTCAGTGATTTCCCCTTTCGTGACGGTGAAAAACGGACTCCCTTTAACATCCGTTTTACTCACCGTAACAGCTGCAGGGGTTCGCTTAACGGCGGCAAGGCAGTTGGTAAAACAGGGCAAAGCTCGCTTAACAAGTGTCTCGCTTAGCAACGGAGATGTCCGGGCTCAATTGTGGCCGTAAGTTGAGGACTAGCTGGATTTTATTTATGAAAACTTGCAACGCCCGCCCGCCTGGCTGCGGAAGCACCTGGGGGCCGTTTGCAAAGAGATCAAAGTCAGAGTTAAAACAAACTGTCTGAAATGCAACCTTCTCCCCTCTTGTCCGAGGTCACCTGCTGTGCCTGATGGTCTTGGTGCTCCCGCTCCTCTCCCTGGTGCAACTCTACCTTCACCTGCTGGCCGTCCTGCTCCTCTACCTGTCCCACCAGGTAGCCTGGTAAGACGGTGCTTCCCCCCTGCCCCCCCCTCCCCACCTCCCTGGGAAAGTCCATGGGGAGACTCCTGGCTTTGGAAGCCCACTGGGGATACCTTGTGCCAGGCACACTCACCTGAGCCTGGCCTACCTTGCAGGGCTGTTTTTATTTATGTACTAGCTCGATACTCGTGCTTCGCTACAAAACGATGTGGTCGGGCTCAGTTTTGGGGGGAGGAAAATAAGGAGGGGGGGGCGGAATTGTGCCTCTGCCTATTAGCATCCATCGGTATTCACCTGGCTAGCGTCCTGTCAGTGTGTCAGAGTTGAGGGCTGTTTGGTAACTGAAAGAGTATTTGCTGTGAGCCAAGGAGACAACAAGGAGCCTGGGCGTGGCTTAGCTCAACTGTTCTGTACTAAAGCTGCTGGGTGCTCTGAAAATAAAACTGAAACTCCTCTGCTTGTGTTTTGCCTTTGGAAGAGATTTCTTTTCAGGTGGGGAGGGGGAGTAGAACTCCTTAGCATCAGAGCATGTTAATAACAATAATAATATAGGAAATATTCTAAATGCTCTGATGGTCATTTCGAAAAATCCTTCCTTAGCAAGCACCTAGGAGCCAAGAGGAACCTAGGTGCCAAATTTCAAGTTTGCAGGCTTTACGGTTCTGGAGATTTTGTGATGATGTGTGAGGGGTATTTTGTTTTTATATATATAGATTAAATTTAATTAATTAATGAAAGATACAGGCTTTATAAAATGCATTCATTTATTAAATTATTGATGCAATTTTATTGATTTAAATGCACTGTTAGGTTTATTACATTTTTTCAATACGTTAATTTCTTACATATACGACATGCACATTTCTTTAGTAATTTGCATTTGTCTCTTATTCGTTACATTTGTTTATTACGTTTTATGACATTTATTTATGAACGTTTTACATTTGTCTCCAAACTTGGCGACTTTTTAAGATTTCTGGACTTCAGCTGCCTGGGGAATTCTGGGAGTTGAAGTCCACAAATCTTAAAAGTTGCCCT